CTCTTTCCCTTTTCCCTTTTCCCGCCTCCTTCCCTCATTTCCCCCCCCTTCATCCCATGGACATGGCACGGCCACCTTAAAGCGCCGCGCCGCCCCCTCCTCCCCCGATCGCCGGGGCCGCTATGAGTCAGGTGAGTGTGTTTTTATACGGAGTGTGTGTGCGGGGGAGAACTTTTGGATGTGGGGGGGTGAACTGTGCTGCAGTGGGGGGGGGATTGTGCTGGGTGCTTCCCCCCATCCCAAATGGCGGTGCTGGATGTGGGGGGATCGCGGTGACGGTGGGGGAGTGGGAGGAAGGCAGCGGGCTGAGTGCGAGCCTTCCTCTCCATCCTCCTCGTCCTCCCGCAGCCCCCCTGACGCCCCCTCCTCTCTGTGTTCCAGGTGTGAAGCCCCCGCCGGGAGGAGGTCGTTCCCCTCGCTGGCTGCAGCCCTGACGCTGGGATTTTCCTTTTTTTGGCTTTTTTTGGCTTTTTTTTTTTTTTTTTTTTCGGCCCCACCACCTCCCTCCTTCCCTCCCTCGCTCCCTCCCTCCAGGAATCCAGCGCTGCACCGGAGCCAGAAGAGAGGGAGCAAAACCCAGCCCAGGCCGAGAGCCGCGTCCAGAAACCAAACCCGCCCTTCGCGTCGCAAAGGAGAATTTTTTTTTTTAATCATTATTATTATTATTTTTATTTTTAATACCCCTGACCCGAGCACGGTGGCGGCAGCAGGGAGGCTGTCCCGGTTATTTATTCTCTCCCCGCAGAGCTGTCCCTCCGGCTCACCATGATGTTCCGAGACCAGGTTGGCGTGCTGGCCGGGTGGTTCAAGGGCTGGAACGAGTGCGAGCAGACTGTTGCGCTGCTCTCCCTGCTCAAACGCGTCAGCCGGACCCAGGCTCGCTTCCTCCAGCTCTGCCTCGAGCATTCCCTGGCAGACTGCACCGAGCTCCACATCCTCGAAGGGGAGGCCAACAACCCCGGTGAGTGCTGGCGAGCCTTCTCGGGCGGTGCTCTAATGCCGTCGAAATTTAAAAAAAAACAAAAATACACCCGAGGAACGGGTGCGGTTTGGGAGCCGGGGGGCTCCTCCAACTCGGTTCTCTGCTCGCGTTTTATTTTCCAAACGGGGCTTGGCTTATTTCAGTTTGGTTTTTCGCAGCAAACTACTCCGCTCCTTGGCGTGGTGTAACTACGGTAGCATGAATGATTGGTGGGTTTTTTTTTTTTCCTTTCCCCCCCGTGCCCCCCCTTCCTCCTTCCATGCAGTTTCCTGTGAAATAAGTAAGTCAGGTCACGTAGAGTCTGGATTTTCTAGGCTTCTTTTGGGCAACGTGGCTTGCTTTGCTCTCTGCAACATGCAGAAGCAGCCCATCGCTACCTCAGACGAACTGTTATTGTATAAAGGTCTGGGCAACTGGGTTATCCTATTTTTTTTTTTTTCCTGTTAAATGTGGCAATTCCTATTTCATCATTCAGATCCTGTTTGGACGCATTTTTTTTCCTGCGGCTCTGAATACCCCCTTGTGTTTCAGCAGAGCTCTGAGAAAATATGAGTGGACTGTTTCATGTTACTGAGCGTGCAGGGTGCAGGACAGCAAATGTGCGTGGCTACCGAAAGTGTATTTTTCTTTTATTTATTTGCCATTACAAGTTGCTCAACTCCTCCAAAGTAAATGGGAGTTGGGGCAGGATGGGAATAGCACAGGCGCCGTGCGAATTGCGCCGTGTGTTCCCGTGTTTATTTATGGGGGGTGTGTTACAGATGCGTGTGTTCCTAAGCGTGGATGTACACAGGGATGCAAGTTGCTTAAAGTAGAGTTTTTGTAACACAGAAGGCCAGCGGGGAAGGTGAAATGTCATTTAGTTGCGCAGTTCTGTTTCTCCAGCACCTCTCAAAAAAAAAAAAAATCCCAAACCAAAAAAATCCCATAAAAAGCAAAGCGAACACCCCAATTCCTAAGCACCAAGGCTGGAAGCTCTGGGGTGTCGCGCTGTGCGTGGCAGAGCAGTGCGGGGAGCGGCCGGCTGCGTTCCGTGATGGATGGATGGAAATCCTGCGGCCGGATCCCGAACAGAGCCCCCGGTGTGGACGGGGCGGGAGGAATGCAGGGTCCTTCCTTCTCCAGCTGTTCCCTATTAGAGCACCGAGCCGGCAGGATTTGGCAGCTGCCTGCGCTGCCATTTGATGACAAGGTCCAGCGCAGCGCCGTGTTCCACCGAGGACGGATTTAAGTCCTTCTGCAGGAAGCCGAGCCTGGAGCTGCTCCGGCGCGCAGGGAGCGGGGCTGGAATTGGCCGTTCCCTTATATAGCTCGCAGGAATGAGAGGGAGGAATGCTGCCGAGTGCGTCTGGGCGCAGTGCTGCTGCTGCTGCTGCTTTTATAAACAGCTGAAGGGATGAACCTCATCCATCCCTTTGGGTGGGGAGGCCCCGGGGGGGGCCGGGAGGGAACACATTCTCCAAACTCGGCTGCTCCTGGATAAATCTGCAGCTTCCCGTGCCAGCCTCAGCACAGCTTTGCTGTGATTCCCTCTGTGAGTTGGTGTAAGCAATGTATTTTTAATTTTTTTTTTTTTTATCAGCATCTCAGCTTTTCAATCTGGGTTTGGCAGTAGCTGGGTCCCCTCAGTTGGCCAGGGAATTGGAGGGGGGTGATTTGCCTCCTGCCATCAGGAAAGGCAAATTGTGAAGGAAAGCAAGGTTCTGATGAGGTCCTGGCCACAGAGTCACGTAGGGCCGCCTGTGTGGTGGCATTTTGTCAGTGTGAGGCTGGGTGCAGAGCAGGCTTGGGCCCTTCCCATCTCCACTCGTGCGAGCAATCCCTGCCTGCCCCTGTAATCCCGGTGACCTTGCTTGGCGCGAGGATTTCTCCTGCGTGCAGGGCTTGGCACCCAGCCCCTGCCTGGCCCTGGCTGCCTTGGTGGAGCTGCCTCAGCTCTCCCTGGCCTGCCTTCCAAAAGTGATCTCTTCCTCCAGGGCATTTGTAACTCTAGTGCCAAAACCTGAATCCACTGAGTTCCTCTTTCTCACTGAGCATCCCCTCTGCGTGGCTTTCCCTTGGGATGGATGTGTCCGTGCATCCTGGCAGTCCTGTTGTAGTGCAGGGAAGGTTAGCTGAGATTTGTAACCAGGCTCAATTAGGAAATAGCTTTTAGTCTCCTGTGTTAGTGCTGCTTTCCTAAAACCACCTGTCTTATTCCCTAAATCACTCCTGTTCCACGCCTGTCTGGCAGTCTGGCACTTGTCACTTGCTGGCAATGGAATCACACCAAGTCCTGAACAGCAATGTTGTCATCAAACCTTGCATTACTTGTTACTCTTTGAATCCTGGTGTTTGCATTACTAATTTGGGCTCAATTCCTCCCCAGGCTGGGGCCTGAGGTGGCTCTGGTACATTTTCTTGGTGTTTGCTGATTTGGAAATAGTGGCTCCCTGCTTGTAGGCGTCCCTGGTGGGGGCTGTAAGGCAGGGGATGTTCCCTTTCCATGAAATCACTGTGTGGGGAGGGGTGTCACCAGCTCAATGGAACTACTGGGCTAATGTCCCGGAGGTGTTGGAATTACACTGGGAGAACTGAGTTGTTCTGTAAGTGCAGGATGTGTTGCTTGTCCCAACACTTTGGAGAGATGGGAGAACTGGAATGTTACTCCTAGGTGTGATGGTCCTTAGGAGGAGGTGGCAGCCCTGCTGTGGTCCCTGGTGCATGGGCACCATCCTTGGAACTGTTATCACCAGCAGCAGAGATAGGAGGGTCCCAAAGGGAGCCCAGAGCTCAGGAATCCTCCCTGCCTGGTGCTGCTGGGCTCGGAGCCCTCAGGTGTGTGCACCAGGAGTGGAGGAAAACTCATCTCAGCGCAGGTGTCCAGGTTGTTTCTTGCCTGGTAGACTCAAGATGAGAGGCCTGATGAGTGGCAAATATGATGGAAAAACTCAAGGAAGGACATTTTTTAACTGGTTAACTGCCACAGAGAAGCAAGCATATTTAGTTTGGAGGAGTTCTATCTTGGTGATGTTTTGTTTTCCAAGTGTGAGGGTATTTTCATAATGATAGCCAAGCTGTCCTCATCAGTACTGCAAACCCCACAGGCTCTGCTGTGTACAGCTGTGTGTGACCCTCAGGAAGCCCTGAGGATCCTCCTGGTTCCATGGTTCCCTGTCTGAGCCTGGAGGGGTGGATGTAACCTTGTTGGGAAGCTGCATTGGTGTGTGGGGGCTGCAAGACCACCTGCAATCCATTGTTTGCTTATAAAGGGAAAATAGGAGTGGGAAGCAAACATGGAAGGACATCTATAGATTCTTCATTAGGTGAAATGCACAGCTTGGGAATGTCCCACACAGTGGCTTCACTGAGCTTTAATGGTTTAAACTGGTGAAGAGTGTGGGTTGTTGCTAATTCAACTGGAGTGTGAGTGGCTTGGTCTGCTGAGAAGGAGAAGAATATGGAAACCATATTATCTGTGCACAGAAATAGCAGTTTCAGGTATTGCCCAGCACTGTTTAAAAGCCTGCTATAACTTCCTTCCTTCCTTCCTTCCTTCCTTCCTTCCTTCCTTCCTTCCTTCCAGCCTGGCCTTGCTGGGCAGCTTCAGCCCCAGCTGCTTGGAGCCGTCAGGGCACAGCGACCTCCTCTGAGCTTCCAGGAGAGGTCAGGCAGGAATGGGCTGGGAATGGGACCTGTGCTGCTCCTGGGCACCCAGGGGTGCTGGGGTGGCTGCTCTGTGGCTGCAGACCCAGTGAGGAGATCTGGGGGCTGTGTCCTTGAAACATTGAGTGCAGAATCTGCTTTCATCCACTCCAGCATCCCTCTGTGGTTTGTTCCCAGAGCAGCCCCACATCCCACCCCACCAGCCCTGGCTTCCTCATTCCTGCAAGGTTGACACAAGTGCCCAGAGACTCCTGTAGCTCCTCCAGGTGTCCACACACCCACGTGCACTGATGGAAGCAGTGCCAGCTTTAATCTCTTGGCCTTAAAGGACAACAAGCTTCCTCTGGCCTGTGCACAGGACATTCTCTGCTCCATGTGTTGGGGCCAAAATGTTTATTTCATTTCAGCAGCTATCACAGGTATCATCAGGATGACCTAGATTCCTCATCCTGGGAAGGACTGGCCAAAGGAAGAGACAAGGGTTGCAGGGAGCTGTAATGTCTTTTAATAGACCAAGTGATGCAGCTGGAAAAAATGGCCAGGCCTGAAGGTGCACCAGCTCAAAGGAGGGCTTGTGTGCTTGTGGGTTTTTTCCCAACTGTACCAGCTGGTCTATTAAAAGGTATTACATATTCCTAGAGACCTTGCTGTTATATCCTTAGCTCCCTGTGGCTCCAGCCCTGCATCTGTTGCTGCCACCCCAGCCACAATCTGTCTCCCAGCCCATGAGGGAGGTGCTACCCCTGCACTGTGCAAATTTTGTAGTTCATCCCCAGTGACCCCCACTGGTGGCAAATCATGCAGTGCCCAGTTTTGAGGGTGTTTCCCATTAAAAAAAAAAATTTCTTGGCTTACAGTTGCATTGCAGTGCTGAGCTGTGGTTTGAATGTCCTTGGGCAGTGTGAGGGCATTGCTGGGCTGTCACACAGTGGGACTGGAGGAGGGGGTGAGCAGCTTAGCCTGTGCTTGCTGGGTGTGATGGGGAATTCTGAGTGCAGGGCTGGACATTGGCATTGTGTGGTCATTCCACACATTTGTCTCTGCCTGGAGAGGGATGGGAGCAGCCCTGCTGGCTCTGCTCATTAAAAGTTAGCAGCTGGGACTCCTAAATGGAGAGATCACAGAATCACAGAAGGGACCTGAAAGCTCATCCTGTGAAAACCCCTCAGACAGGGACAGCTCAGAGTTCCATCCAGCCTGGCCTTGAGCACTCCCAGGGATGGGACAGCCCCAGCTCCTCTGGGTGACCTGGGCAAACCTCAGATCTGAGCTGACACGTGCTTTTAACCTGCCTGCTGGTGCTTGACCTGCTGCCACACATCTTTGCCAGGTTT